TTATTGTTTTAATTCATCGGAAAAAAGTAAATAAATAGTTAAAAGGTATGAAAAAAATAATATCAATATAATAAAACTTTTAGTACAAAGAAAATGCCCGAACGGAGTATAGATAAATAATCCGAGTTGTCACTATGCTCCATAGATGGAAAAAATTATTAATTATAGTTTTAAACAAAATTCTACCCTCATAATTCTTTGTGGAAATAGAGGTAGTTTAAATAAAAAAAAAATATTGCAATTTTATAATTCACTTACAGCTCTGTATAAAATGCTCTAACGGAGCATAGATAATTTATTCTATTATGTCGAGTTGGTGATCGTGCAATGGTGTCGATAGTTACACGAGTTCGGTTCATGTTATTGTTTTAATTCATCGGAAAAAAGTAAATAAATAGTTAAAAGGTATGAAAAAAATAATATCAATATAATAAAACTTTTACTACAAAGAAAATGCCCGAACGGAGTACAGATTAATAATCCGAGTTGTCACTATCCTCGATAGATGGCGTTGGGATTGAAATTGATCGCGCTATGGTTTCGTTACACGCATTTGGTTGGGTATCGGCCGAGTGCTTCGGTACTGTCGTAGAATTGAGGATTGATCTCGATTGATTGATAGTTTGATCTCGATTATTAGTAGATACTAAAATTGTATGTCTAAATTCATTTTAATTTTTAAATTAATTAGATCGTTCCTTTTAAATTATATAGTTTTAAGCTTGGTTATTAAGGGAATAGGTAATTTGTCAAGGGAGACAGTCTTTTTTTCTGAAATGACAAATCAAAATATTATTTTGAAAATAAGGGAATAACAACATTTTCGCCTTTTTCGATCGACTTTAATGCCCTAAGCGAGTATACATATCTTCAATTCAAACGTAGAGCTCATTATGTTGATTTTTGAAGAGTTCCCTAGAATATCTTCCACATTTAATTTTTGAAAAGATCCGGAACTACTTATGTGAGTAAAACCAAAAATCTGCCGGAAGTCACTATTCCACGCGAACGAAGTCGCGGGCAAAAGCTAGTTAATCCATAAAAACGTTAAGTTTACGAAGATGGATCGTAGTCTGTCGTACCATGGAATCTACATCTTGGAATGAGCAAATAGCTTCACTTTTAAGTTTCTATTGCTGACGTTCAAAAGTGCCTTCCTGGTCTAATTGAAATTAATGATTTTGACTTTGATTTTGACTTTGATGTTCAATGAAAAATTAAGATATTTTACGGAAATATAAAATTTTAAACTTCTAAGCACTAAAAAGCTCTATAAATAAAAGAAGGCGTTTAAAAACATATGGACTGACTAACTATTAGCACCTGCAATACACGAACTGACCTACGCGTGAACTTGGTATGGAAGATATCTTTCACAAGTATCAAGGTTCATTCCGATAAAAATATTTCGCAAAACTAGTCATAGTGCTACATTCAATTTGTTTAATAACATTATTAAAGTTAATAATATTTTGATTACTTGTGATGTGACTTCAAAATATGTAAGATATACATATATAGATTCAAAGTATAATAAAAAAAAGGAATTAATTTTAAATGTATCCTAGCCAGCGCCTAGCTTCACTGACAGACGGACGGACAATTCAATTTTTGACATTTCAAAAATGCCTAATAAAGCAATATTTGAAATAAATGCTTTGACTTTGACTTTTAACAAACTAAGTAACAAATTTAAATTTTTAACATGACTAACATAAATAATTTTAATAAACTTAAATTATTATTAAGCTAAACTAGGTATTATTTTAAAATAAAATTAAATAATAAAAGTTTAATGAACGAAAAATTTAAACAACGTATCGTGAAAATTTGTTACAAAATCCAATACTTACATATATATATTAAAAGACCTATATTAATCAATAAAAAGGTTGTTAAAGCTCTCAAAGAACAAAGGAAATTAACGTAGGTACACTAGAATCAACGCACTATTTTGAACTTCGGTATAACTCAACCAAATTGAACCGATCCTAATCAAACACAGACTATAAAAGAACAAGAGAAGACTACAAAAACGTCCCAATAACTAAAAATTGACTGACTAAAGTAAAATAAAAAAGTATGTACATTACCGTGTAATCCACGCCACCTTACTATGTACTAAGATAAAAGTTCTCAAACTGAACAGGTGCTAAAGAAACATCTAAAAATAAAAAGTTCGTTCATCTAGACAAGAAGGCCATCCCTCCCACTTCGATCCCACCATGATATTTTAACATTCCCACAAATTTACTAAAACATTGCTAAGAAATATCCACAGTTTTGACAGCCTGTATATAAATCCGTCAACGGCTGTTTACAATTAAAGTTTTTCAGTTTGTTGATGCAAAACAGATGCGTTTTTTAGTCCATGCTAATGTTAGAATGCCTAGAATTATCTAGATTTTAGGATACCGTAGTCTAAGTACTGGAGAACCTGGTTATGATTTGAAATTTTAGGTCTGTAC